TCACACATTTTTGTCTCCGCTCAGGACCTAGGATGGCTCCAGAGCAAACTAATTTATGCAGGAGTCAAATCGCTCGCTCACAACTTTAATGCCGGCAGCTCACAAAAGTAGAATTTTTCCTCACAAGACTCCACAGCTTAAAGAGGGTGAGGGGCTGGGGGAGGTGGTCTTGGGAAGCGGGGGGGGGAGATTGGGTTCACAGCAGGCTTCCCAATCTCCAGGTTGAGCCTGGAGATTACGTGGAATTACAACTGAGCTCCAGGGTATAGAGAATTAATTTCCCTGGAGAAAACTGCTGCTCTGGAGGGGGACTCTACAATACCATACCCTGCTGAAGTCCCCCCCCCCTTACCCAGTTTGGTGTAGTGGTTTGGTGTGCGGACTCTAATCTGGGAGAACCCGGTCTGATTTCCCACTCCTCCTCCACTTGCACCTGCTGGATGACCTTGGGCAAGCCATAGTTCTATCAGAGCTGTTCTTGAAAAAGAGCAGTTTCTGTCAAGAGCTCTCTCAGTCCTGCCTACCTCACAAGGGTGTGTTGTGGGGAGGGGAAGGGAAAGGAGATTGTAAGCCGCTCTGAGACACCTTTGGGTAGTGAAGGGCGGGGTAGAAATCCAAACTCTTCTCTTCTTCTTCTTACCCAACACCCACCCCCAAATCTCCAGGAATTTTCCAAGCTGGAGTTGGCAACCATAGCCTGGAGACCTCCCAAATTACGATTTATCTCCAGACGACAGGGATCAGTTCCCCCTGGAGAAGAGGGCTGCTCTGGAGGGAGGACTCTATGGTTTTACATCCAGCTGAGTCCCCTCCCCTCCAGTGTTCCCTCTAACATGAAGCCTGGAGACCTCCCAAATTACGATTTATCTCCAGACGACAGGGATCAGTTCCCCCTGGAGAAGAGGGCTGCTCTGGAGGGAGGACTCTATGGTTTTACATCCAGCTGAGTCCCCTCCCCTCCCCTCCAGTGTTCCCTCTAACATGAGTTAGTGTGAGCTGGCTCACAGTTTTTTAGCCTCCAGCTCACATTTCTGTCTTAGCTCAGGAAAGATGGCTCCAGAGCAAACTAATTTACGCAGCACCCAAAATGATCACTCACAACTTTAATGCCAGTGGCTCACAAAGTAGAATCTTTGCTCACAAGACTCCACAGGTTAGAGGGAGCATCGAACTCCTCCCCAAATCCTTCCCTCCTCACCTCTCCAGGAATTTCCCAACCTGGAACTGGCAACCATAGTCCAGCGTGTGCAAAATATCCGTGGGACATTTATAAATAGGCAACCTGTCTCTCGGCCGCGCTGTATATTTGTCAATCCTCAACCCGTCCAAAAACAAAACACAAATCTGTTCCGGGTTGGCTGACGGGAGACTCCTGTGTTTTGCGTCCAGGAAGGCAAAAACAGCAGGGAGTTACTTTGCCACAAACCGATCCTAAAAAGCACAGAAAGTGTAGAGAGTCCGGCCTCACCTGCGAGAAGAGAAGTTTCTCCGGCTTCCAGAGCGGCAGGCCGCGCTCCTCCAAACAGCAGAAGGCCTCACCTGCTGTTTCCCGCATACCAAGCCGCTCTTCAAGGCAGGGAAGCGGGCCAGAACATGGTGTTTCTTCCCCCTGGCTGGTTGGCACATAACCACTGCGTGGGGGAAGAGAAACTCCCAGCAGAAAGGGGGGGGGA